AAAATTATCTGGCGGGATTTGCAAAAACAAATTAAAAAGGGATTTTCTGCCCTGATGAACAGAGCTTTTGAAAATAATGTTCCGAAATTAGACCCGAGTTCCAAACCCTTTTGGAAGCTCACAAAAAACATCAAAAGCCTATTCCAGCACTTAAAGAAGGTGGTAAAATTTTGATCACGAATTCAGAAAAAGCTCAGAAACTTGCTAAACAATTCGAGAGTTCCCATAATTTCAATTAAGGTCTTTCAAGTCCTATTGAGAATCAGGTTGCTTGGTATTATCTGCATATTTTCTCTCAGGAAAATATGTTTGATGATTTGGACGAAGTAAGGTCTATAACTAAAAAGTTTCATAATATGAAAGCTCCAAGTGATGATGGAATTTTTTATGTCCTCATCAAAAAACTCCCAGAGAGTACCTTGTCTTTCTTGGTACAATTATTTAACAGATGTTTCCATTTGGCATATTTTCCTGATTAATGGAAAAATGCATAAATTTTTCCAATTTTGAAGCCGGATAAAAATCCAGCTGAAGCTTCTAGCTACCGCCCAATAAGTTTGCTTTCTTCAATAAGTAAACTTTTTGAAAAGATAATTTTGAATAGAATGATGCTTCACATCAATACGAACTCAATTTTTGCAGATGAGCAGATTGAATTTCACCATGGGCATTCAACTACTGATCAACTCTTAAGAGTTACCAATTGAATTCGTTTAAACAAATTTGAAAGCTACTCAACTGGAGTTGTTCTTCTAGACATTGAAAAAGCATTCAACCGTGTTTGGCATGAAGGTTTGATTGCTATATTGCAGTCCACTCTATATAATGAAATTAGTTCAAAATTATTTAACTGATACAACTCTGCAGGTAAATTATCAAAATTCCTTATTTGAACAACTAATTATTAGAGCAGGATTTCCTCAGGGTAGCATTCTTGGGCCTATATTGTATAACATTTTCACTTCAGACCTCCCTGATTTGCCTCAGGATTGCCACAAATCTTTATTCGCTGATGACATAGGCATTTCCGCTAAAGAAAGAAGTCTTCGTGTTATTTGCAGCAGACTGCAGAATTTACAGAAATGGAAAGATTTCTCCCAACGCTTCCAAAACTCAACTTATAATATTTCCACATAAGCCTAGAGGTTCCTTTTTGAAACCTAGTAGTAGTCACATAGTCACTATGAACGGAGTTCCAATTTTTTGGTCAAGTCAAGTGAAATATCTTGGATTAGTACTTGACCAAAAATTAACTTTTAAAGACCACACTGAGGGCATTCAAGCAAAATGTTACAAATACATAAAATGGTTGTATGTTCTTATAAACAGGAAATCAAACTTTGCCTGAAGAATAAACTTCTTATATTTAAACAAGTTTTTAGACCGGCCATGCTTTATGCTAGGCCAATATGGTCTAGTTGTTGCACTACCAGGAAAAAGCATGGACATTGGCATCGACATTTGCAAATTTAAAATTTCATAAAATTCGTAAAGATCAGCAAAGCATCCAATATAACAGCTAAAGGGTGTCCACGGTTAAATTGCATCACTTTAAAAAAGCTGTAACATTTTGCCATTTGGGTTAATATTAATGAAATTTTGAGAGAGATGGCCTCAGCGTGTATTATTTACACTGCGTGAGTTTCATTGTGAAATTTCTAGTAGTTTTGAAAAAAGATTCGAAAGTTCAGTGTGTGCGCGAGAAAATTTTGCACACTCACCTCAACAACCAACATCTTTAGTACCGAGCCATCGGACAGATGTTGGGAATCCAACAATCTACTGTTTCTCGTGTCATAAAACGTTTCGGAGAACGTTTAACTGCCGATCGGAAGCAAATGAGTGCAAGAAAAAGCGTTCCGTACTGCGTTGAAGATCACAAGCGAAAAAACTGCACCTGACAAAAAGTTTCGTGCAGAAAACCGAGAAACGAGCAGGACTACGTTCATTCAAGGTTCAGAAAGCACCAGACCAGGATTGGACAGCTAGAATGCGGGCACGTAAACTATGCACACAAATGTTGACAAAACCATACTGCTGTATCATGGACGATGAAACATAAGAAAAAACGGACAAATTCCGGGAAACTAGTATGTGACTGCGAAAGACAAGTTCGATGTTTCAGAGTCTCTCAGGAAACAGCAAGCAGGGTTCCTTCCATTCATTTTGGCTAAAAAAATGTTTTATAAAATTATGGAATAATAAGATATTATAATAATATTTTGTTTGTGTAAGCAACAAGAAAAGATTGTGGAGTTTGTGTTTGACACATAATACCAGCCAACGTTGCTGCATGAGAGTCGCAATAAGCGATTTTGTCATTTATCTCACCCACTCTTCACTCTTCACTCTTCGCGAAGAGGCGATCAGAAAATCGCTCATTGTGGCTCTGTCAAAGCTAAATTTGCAGGTTTTATGTGTCAAACACAAACTTTAAAAATTTGTCTTGTTCCTTACACATACAAAATACCATCATAATATCGTATTATTCCATAATTTCCTAAAACATTTTTTTAGTCAAAATGAATGGAAGGCACCCTGACAGCAAGTGTCGAAGTTCCCCAAGAAATTCATGATTTGGCAAGTGATTTGTTCGTAAGGAAAACGGAGCAAACCTTTCGTAACAACTACAACCGTAAATGGCCAAGTCTGCATGAATGAGTGCCTAAAGTAACGACTGCTTCCGTTTCTCAAATCACACAACGCCTCTTGTCACTACTTCAAGGACGTTCTGGAGTGGTACAATACGAATGGGGTCAATTTCGTGCTGAAGGATTTCAAATCCCCCAAACACACCGGAGTTGCGGCCGATCGAACTCTGTAAGCATCCTAAAGTTGTCCCTACGGAGCAGGAAATGTTGAAATCATGGTTGAAAGCAGAAAAAAAAAATGTTGATTCAACCGTTGTACAAAACCTTATGGGTGGAATAAAGAAAAAATTTCGGGCATTTGATTTTGGTGAAGAAGTAGAGTAAAATAAAGATAGGTAAAACAAGCTTATACTATATAGTATTACATTCCCTGCAAATTTAATGACAATCGGTTGAGAGACTTATTTTGGGCGAGTACTTCTAAGTGGTGCAATTTAGCTGTGGACACCCTTTAATCATGCAGAACGGTGGAGTCTTCATAGCTTTTTGAGGTCTCCGAAGTCCACAATAGTTTTAACGTCCTAAGATTTTTTGAAGATTTTTTAGTCTTGCACAAATTGTCAAGATCGAGTACTTAGATGATTCGATAGCAAGATTTTTTTAAAAGATTTCTAATTTAGACAAAATTGTAGATCCACAATCGAGATTTCGAACTTGAAAAATATCGACGATTCAATGATTTTGAAAAAAAAATGAGTACATGGAAAACATGGAAATCTCTTCTCTCTGTTAGGGTTAACTACCCCATTTCCGGCCTATTAAGCACAACCCGCACTTAGTCTTTCTTAATCTAGCGCAGCTTAGCACCAAACGGAATGTTATTATTACTGATGGGTTTCAAATTTATTTACCTTTCCGTACGTACCGTAAGATTTGATAAAGAGAAACAAATAGTTGAGATATTGTCAAAAGTCTAACACTGCTTCTTGACGCCAAACTCGGCCAACGAATTCTAAACTCGGCCTAGAGTATTGAAACGCCAATGAATTCACTTCGGCCTATCGCATGAAGATAAAACATGATTCGGTCGGAGCGCTTCTTTTGTTTTTGGGAATAATGAGTGCAAACCTTCCTATCACGCGTTCTCATTGACTTCGTTCGGTAGCTTATTAACTAAAGTATTGTACCAAACGCATAATTGACTTGTTAACTCTGAAATCATGGATTTATTTGAAGTTTTCTGCTCGATAGGTCCAAAATGAGCGATTAAGCCGAAGTAGTTCTCTACCCTACACAAGGTTCTAACGGGGTTAGTTTGATCCCCATATAAGCTGAACGTTCTACTGTCGTGAATAAACTTAGTCAGTTTGGACAAAATTACCAACTCTAAATTCTAGCATTCTCAATGATTGTACAAGCACTGCCTTACTGATTACTTAAGCCTTAGCTTGCTTAAACTCTACAGCTACAGTTGTGAAGATAGCAGCTATTACATTTCCCAATCATTACCGTGATGATTACTACTGTCAAACTTTCTGATTGCATCTAATGAGCAGACACCATAATAGTGTTGTTCGTGTTTCTGTATGTAGATACGTTCCAACTGCTACTTTCTAATGTATTCGTGTTCTGTGTATAATGTGTACTGGATGGTGAATCTGTTGAGTGTTCCCGAGTATCATGGTTGAGTTTGTGGAATTGAATGGTCATATTTCAAGCTAATTCGTTTTGGTTTTAATCCGTAGAGGATACTTTATGGAGGATCTAGTTCAGTTTTGTCAACTATTTGAAGAGGGGATAAAGTACAATCGTAGAAGAAACATTTCCATACAACCAATTAGGGGGACACTGTTCTCAACATCTATGGGGAGCAACTATATGGGGAAGATAAGTGACAACTCAAGGAATTCGAGATCATCTATGGCAGTGGAAGTTCGATACCAATACTGATCGGAAACGAGGGCTCATTTCCCCCCAGTGGGGGAAGTGATTTGCTATTCTTACATCTGATGTCTTCATCACTGTCATAATGATTTCACAAAATTCAATACATTGAACTGTGGGAGCAGGGGAGGATTATCATGCCTTTCTGTTTTAGATTCGTGATCAGTAATAGAGAATTACGGTTTGAAGTTTCCAATTATTTCCTTTGAAAGGCATGATTTTTACTGTAAGGCTTCCTACGATGGAAACTCACATCGAAAAGGCAAGGTACACATCTGAAGGGAAGCTGATTAGGGGTGGGAGGGGATGAACACACATACGGGGAAGCGGGAACGTGGCTCGGGAGCATTCGATCAATTGTTGTGGCTTACCAGGAAAACGACCTCATGGGAAAACAGGGAGGGGCTGGGGATACAAACAGGAACAATTGGGACGGGAAGTGCAGAAAGCGGTTCTCATACTTACCGCGCTCACTTTACGGGCTTTTGCAGTGCCAGCTGCAGTAGCTGTTGGTGCGGTTGTTCTTGTGATTTCGCTCACCGACTCCAATCCTTCGCTGCGGATCGACATCTTCTCCTTGTTGTTGTCGTCGTTGCCCTTCTCCTGGCCTACGAACAGCTCGTAGCTGTGGCAGGAAAAGTCCGATGGGCTCTTGGCGATCTCCGGGTTGGCTGCGGCCGCCGCTGCCGCTGCATGGGCCTCGAGTTTGGCCGCTTTCGCTGCAGCCGCCTCCTCGGCTTCCTGCATTGTTGCGAGTGCGGAATTGGGGAATATAAATCAGATACATATTAGAGCCATGAGCTTATAACAATTGCTTCGGATTGAATCGACTTGGGATTCAAAACATCCAACCACTTTCGACAACATATATTTACACAGCTCTACATAATGGACACGTAGGTCCTGATCAGCGCTGATGACTAGCTTAGACTGTTTTAGCAATACACGTTGGCGAAGAGCGATTAAACACGGACAAACACTTACCACACAAATGTTCGACATAACAAATGATTTTATTTTTTTCGCATTGTATGTTTTATCGCACACAACATATCATTCAACCACACATACATACATACAGTGAGCAACGCCACTCATACCTAAATCAACTAGAAGATTAAAAACTTTATGAAACGAAAAATAGAAATGAATGATGAAATTTTGATTTAATGAATGACGACGAGAAAAGTTTCAATCTTTGTTCGTTGGATTCTATGAAAGGATTTGCTCATGGTTTTCGTTGTCAAGATTGAAGTCTTCGCTCCGAATCGTTAGCAATCAACTTTGATGCGATGACTGAGATGTGCTCCGTTGTTGTTGTTGAATATTTCTTTGCCTATCATTCACCACCGACAAGTGCCATTTGATTTTCAAGTATGGCTTAAATTATCAACTTCTAAAAAAAAATATTTTGATCATTCTATTCAGACTTCAGATTTGGGACACGAATCGAAAGTTCAACCTTCGAGATCCTTAATCAGCCAAATGTCTGTTGGTTGTCAAAACATTTTCAAAAGACACGCAATCATGCCCTGAAATGCAATCATACTTGATTGATTTTGTTTCTGTTCTCCTCAAACGATGCACTTCATCGGTTAAAGTGGCTGATCAACGACAGAACACCACTGCTGGAATCCCACCTGGACCTGATAAAGATAATGTTGTTTTCATTGCTGTTACACTCATGATCTGTACTAACCAAAGATTTAAAACTACGGACAATTCTGTTAACGATAATGCGATTATCATCATCAACTGTTGTCACTGGAGATAACCCAAATCACAGAGAACAGACATCCAAGTCAAATTCCTAAAGTTTGTAAGAAATTTAACTGCTATTTTGAGTAGACATTTGAAACTAGAAATATCGTGGTGGCCATTTCCCCCCGGAGGCTTTTCGAATTCCTGGAAGGACGGATACAGGGTAAGCAGTGTTAAAATCATACCACATTGACCACATAACTCGATTGATTTCCGTTGTCTCCCTTTTTATGGCACAGACCTGTTGGTCCATATTAGGATTTCCGTTGTTTTGTCTTGTTTGCATTGAACTGATTTGACAGTTCATTTGAATACACGGTCAATAAGGTCAACCCAAATTTTAGTTCAGTTTACTCATTAATCGCACAATGCACAGTGGTCCAGAATGCAGATTTAGGTGGAATGATATGTTAATGAAATTGAAACTTTAGACTAAAAGTCTCTTCTACACAGCTGTTCCTTATAGATACGCCCTCATTTTTATGACAATGAATTCTAGGGTGGTTCCTATTATCATTAAAATCAAAAATCTAACTTTTTTGTTTGAATAAATTAAGGTACACATTCTTGGGCAAAGTTATAGCTGAGCTAATTTCAAGCAACTTTGTTGAAAATAACTTTTTTGTATCTCTTAAATTGGCCGATTTAGAGCTATTTTCTTATATTGAGTTAGGGTGGCTCTTAAAAAAACAGTTTTTTTGCTCTTGTTTTCTTATTTCGAATTTCTCAGCAAAGGTGTCTTCAGATAACTTTTAGATCTTACAAGACAGCAACTTTCTAGACGGTCGGGATTTGAAGATAGCAGTAGATTTAGCTTCAAGGTTAGATTGTTGAAATAAGTGGGCTTTGAAAACCAATTAATGATTGTTGGACCCATCTTACTCTAACATTTCGAGTTGTGTGAAAATAATAAATGGCTGATAAATACTTAAATGCTTTGCTGAAAAACGGTATACTCCTTTACGACGCTGAAGTTTTACTGGCTTATTTATCCAGCCGGAACATCGTAGAACTTCAAAATCTTTATTCGATTTGGAGAGCGTTTACACATTTAACGTACACAGCATCACGCAAGACGGTCATCACAATTGGCATTATATCGTGGACAAGGGCAAGTGGTCCATGCTTCAGTTCTCCTACCATAATACGTTCGCTGTGCATGTACGACAGTTCCTTAACCTTCAGGGCTCCCTCCATACAGTTGGCAAAGTTGATGTGCGTATCCAGTTTACGAAGTCCTTCCATGATCTCCTCTCGTCATGTCTGTAGCAAGTGAAATGAACTGCAATGTGTAGGCCTTTGTCGAAGCGACACCAATTTCCGGTCCGGCATTGACGTGCACTCCGCAGTGCGATTCACGACCGATCGAACTTCTTATCGTATTGATGATTCAGACGATCAAAGCTCCACGCTGTTTACAGTGACACAAGTGCCATCAGGGTATCAGCTGTTTTAACTCGGTTGGTATGCTCAATGACAGCCGAAGCATCCGATGCGAAGAAGTATTCGACTTCCTCTCCAGGATTGATAAAGTCCGAAGTGTTATCAGCAGTCGGTTCAAACTGAATATTTCCCGTTGATCCATGACGAAGTCCCTTGCCGTAGATAATCGGAACATGGTTTGTGGCTAGACAGGTCTTCGCCTTGATCCCATTCTTCTTCTTCTTCTTCTTCTTCTTCTTCTTCTTCTTCTTCGCCTTTCAAGCTTATTGCATATCGCATATTAGCTTATTGCGTGCTCTCAACTTAGTGTTCTAGATGCACTTCCACAGTTATTAATTGAGAGCTTTCGATGCCTGTACCATTTTTGCATTGGTATAATTTTGTGGCAAGTTCAATCATACTTCTATGCCCAGGGAAGTCGAGAAATTTTCCAACCCGAAAAATTCCTAGACCGGACCGGGAATCGAACCCAGACACCTCCAGAATGGTCTTGCTTTGTAGCTGCGCCTTTACCGACTGAGCTAAGGGAGACCCTTCGCCTTGATCCCAACCAACAGTGGAGATCTCGACGAGTGACGACACATTCTCCTGGGAAGTGCTTCGATTTGAAGGTCAATGCAAAGGCACCCTCAGTTGGACGACCAATTCGATCAGTTATCTGAACGAGCAATTTGTATGTTGGACATAGAGATGATTAACCAGCTTGGCAATGGCTTCCGAATCCATATCCGAATGGAAGATACATCCGTGTAATTCCAGGAATTTCTTGGTATCCTTGTAGTTGGTTACGATACCATTATAAACTACCACGAATGAGTTGTTCTCACCCAAACGCTGATCTTAAGATATTCTGCTAATACTGCTAAGCATCCTTCATTATATTTGGAGATTTCACGATGCTCTACAGATTTATCCAGCTAGTCGGAACGTCGTTCAAAACTTCGTTGAGCATGTCGAACTTTAAGACCTGAATTACAGGCACTCTGGAGTACCTAAGATATGTTGACAATACAAGTTGTGTCCCACATGATGTCTTGAGTGTGGAGTACACCCTAGCTTAGATGATAACCCACTGCGTCGTACCCCTCGTTCTGGTGTCTAATGAATGAACATTACTCATGAGTGATAGTGGGATCGATCATAGCACGCTGCTGTTAAATGCTGATCTTGATCCATCCTCTTTCCGTGGTTGTCCGTTGGCCAGATCAGATGAACGTTGCTGCTGCTGCTGTCGTCTTGTGTGCTGTTTTGCTGCGTTCCAGTGGCGCTGGGTAAATTCTCAAATCCCACAATGAGGTCCCACAATTCTCTACTGATTTGTATGAAACAAATCGGGACATCGTACAAGACTGCTTTTAGCCTGTACATCTTCATGATCTTAACTTAAGAATAATTTGGAGAACCTCAAATACTTATTGTGGGGTTCTCCGAAGCTCTACGTGTTCAAAAATTCAGCCCAGACATCCCACAATACCTCGTTTAGCCTGCAGAACGTTAAGACCTGCATTACAAGTACTTTGGGAGTACCTAAGGTATTTTGACAATACAAGTTGTGTCCCAAATGATGTGATGAGGTCCCACAATGCTCTACGGATTTGTGTGAAACAAATCGAGACAACGTATAAAAACTTTTTTTCAGCCTGTAGAATTTCATGATCTGATCTTAAGAATAATTTGGAGAGCCTCCAAAACCTTGTTTTCCACAAGATATTGTGAGGCTCCACGAAGCTCTACGGATTCAACAACTAAGTCGGGACAACGCACAATACCTCGTTGTGCCTGTAGAACTTTAAAATGTGGAGTTCCTACGACATTTTGCTAATACAACTTATGCCTCACATGATGTTGTTAGATCTCACGCAGCTCTTTGGGTTCAAAAATAGAGTCGCAACATTGTACAATGGCATAAGATGTTTCGAAGGTCCATAAGTGCGAAGAGTTCAAAAATTCAGTCTAGGTATCAATCAAAATTTAATTGACCCTGTACAACATCAAGATTTGAAGAATTAAAGATAGTTTATTAACACGATGTTATGAAACAATGACGCCATCAAGGTTGGACAAAGTTCAGTTGGTACATCGTACAAGCCATCGTTGAGCCTGTTGAACTCAAGGATGATTGATAGATCCAGAAATATTTTTCCAACACTGCTTTATGTCCTACGACATTTTATTGAGCTCAATGAAGATCAAAGGCAGAGTTGCGACCTATCACAATCACGATCGTCAAACAGCTGATGGTAGTAACGCTTTGTACATTCCTATAAATGTGCTCGTCGAAGCTCTCTCCATGACCATCCATCAAGTTGACGAAAGAAGTAAAAAGCAACTGGTGAATGTCGTCTTCGGTTGCGATCCATCACCGATCTGCTCATTCCCGACAATCATGACACTCATCTGTGCTCGTTTTGAAGCAGTTGCTGCTTTGCTTGCTTATGTGAGTGTGTTGGTGAGTGAGCCCAACAGCTTCCGTTTAATGTTGCCTGCTTTGTTTGCAACTCACATAGTCGCACCTACCGAGACGAACTTGGAATGCGTAGGCATTGTTTTCATTTTCTTCTATCGTTTCGCTTTTTTTCACCATCGTACTGCAGAAGTATTCACTGTTTTCGTTGTGCTTTTCATCATCAGCAGCGAGTGTTACGTTTTGCTTGTGAGCAGCGACCATTACTGGTGAATGTTGTTTGCTATGGCTCTACCTCTCACTGCGTGACAAAACGTTCTATCAGTGATAGTCGGTTGATGCGTAGACGAGTGTCACGTGAGTGTCATGATATTTTGCATCACTGATCATAGGCTTTAAAATTTCGAAGTTAAGCCTGTAAAACCTAAAAATCAAACTTCAGGATGAGTTGGAGTACTTTCAATACCACGTTTCTATTGCTCCGGATTCTTGAATTGATATATGCTTTTATCAATACACGGATACATCATTCAAACTCATCATTTAAAGAAAACTCTTTGAAATCATAATTCCCTGCACTAATGAAGATTGTAAAATTTTCTGACATAGATTAGTTGTTAAGATTATTGGCTATGAATTCAGGGTAGAGGTACTTGTTAAGAAATTCAAGATTCTAATCTAGTCTAATCTAATCTAACACCAACACAGCCAGTTCATGAAAGCATCCTGGAAAATGATAAATATACCTCCATCACTTTTTTGGTCTATTTGGTATATATTGCAAAGATGCACAAAAAATATCAAAACGGCCAGGCCTACTGTGCAGCAATGATATTCCAACCCAAAACTGTCAAAATTAGTTTCGATCCTCAAAAGCAAAATAATCAAATTTATTTTGGGCAATTACAGATTGATGGAAAATTATTGACTCATGCTGAATTGATGATAATATCGAGGATAAAGGCTCTGGAATCGACAGTATTCTATGTCGATTCCAGAGCCTTAAACCTCGATATTATCATCAATTCAGCATGAGGCAATAATTTTCCATCAATCTGTGTATAAAAACCAACACTACACGTTCCACAGCGCTGTATTTGTGTAATATGAAAACAATCATTTTCCACTTGATCCTCAAAATCATCCCCACCAAGATGAAGATGAATATTGATATTGACAACAACACAACCGATAATAAACTTCTAGCCCCGAATGAACAAAAACAAATATGTTGACTTCGATACTCAGAGGTTGCCTTGATCAAGAGAATGTGTTTATGTCAAAATTCAAATTCATGCAGATAGTTGGTCTATCTGTTAAGGTTGTCTTCATTTTCAGCTAAAATCAGTGTAGAAGGAATGATTTTTATCAGCACTGAACGTGGACATCTCTTACCGTACGTTCCGGTGTATTGTTGTCTATAAATCATTTATCGTTGGGAGCATCTAGGTTAAGGCTCCTTAACATATCTAAAAAGGTTAAATGATGCTCTATTTTCTTCTAGCGGTTGTGACCTGAGCACTAACTCTTGTCCTAGCCCTATGTGGCATATGGTTATAGCGCCATTACTCGCTTCTTGTTAAGGAATTCATTATTCTGGACTTTAACAATATTTTCAAGATTCTGGCACATTGAAAGATTATCTAGATCTCGAACGATTTTTTTTTCTTTAAATCCCCCTGTCTTCAGTAAACTTTCAAGATTATGGGGTTGTGATAAATTACTAATCTCAAAACTTGTTCAAGATCCTAGACTTAGGAAATTGACATGATTCTGAGAGTTAGTAAATTATTTTGTAGGAGTTGGTCTCTGTCAAGTTTTTCAGCTTCTGGAGTTATATATTGTCAAGATTTTGGAGGTATGTTAGGAGTACAAAACCATTCAACTCTTAAAGATTTTCGAGATCTGTGACTTCAAAAAATTTTCCGTATCGCGGACATAGACAAGGAATTAATTTAAAAAAAAAATGCAGGGTCCTAGAAAAGTTGTTTTGGAGCTCAAAGATTTAGGACTTTATTTTATGGCCGACGTTTTGACCTTTGTAGTTGGCCTTCGTCAGGGGATAATGTCCCAATATCGAATGAAGAAAGCCAAGCTCAAAGGCTGCAACGTCGAACAAAACATATAGAAAGCGTTTTGATCCATCCTCAGATAAAAAATCCGATATTTCATAAATCAGTTCGAGTTCCAGTCGCTTCCAAGTGAGAATCATTTTTCCATTTGAGTAGTGGATTTTCCCTGCCCGACGCTCGATACGAATAATGCCAACAGGAAGCTTATATTGTATATGGGCTTTGCATAGATTAGCAACTGGCAACTTTTAAAAAGTTTCTTGGGAATCTTCTTTTAGGGAATCTTCAGAGAAGCTCGAAGCGTACTGTAGGAAAGGTCAAACTAAACTTCAGAGAAGGTTCAAGGGAGCATCAGAGAGATTTCGGGAAAGTTTCCAGGAATTTCAGAAAAGTCTGATGGGAAGTTCAAAAAAGCTCCAAAGGAGTCCCCATGAACTCATTAGCCAGTTGCCCACTGTGGAAGTAGAAGTCAATTTGGTCGGGGGATCGTTCAAGGAATTCCTATGGGATCATCGAAACGACGTCGTTGGCTATCCATTTGGGTCCCAGCGAAAAAAAAATTAAGTTTCACCAGAAAACAGTGTTTCACCCGATGACGTGCCTCAACGAGATCCGAAGCCGAAATCCAAAACTTCCACTAAACGCGGAAGGAAGCCCAAAATGGTTTCACCCGACGAAATTTCTATTCAGGATCCCTACCGATACTATTTTTTTTCTTAAGTGCTCATAGGGAAAACGGCTCTAATATTGGCCTATAGAGCTAAGATTGGACCCATCGCTAAAAATCTGCTGTTCATCAATTTTATCTAGAGGAACGCGTCATTGGGACGGAAATAATGGATATTTTCGGTCGCTATTGAAAATTTAGTAGGTAGCTGAATTTATTTATAGGCCCAAATTAGGGGCATTTAGGGCGACATGACATCCATTTCCCCTGTGTAAAACTAAATAAAATCCATCCTCTACGTTGAAAAATCTAAAAAAAAAAAAGTCAACAACGGAAATTCCAAAAAGTACTCATGGCATGAGTACATCCAAATATCCTTTTTTCAAAAATGTTGAAACCTTCATGGAAAGAAATATCAGATTTCGGTATCAAGAGATAAATCGAAACTCAAGGTCCTATTCCATAGATTTGTTTTCCAATCAAATAATTTCATTACTATAATTCATCGGTGGCATTTGACATTCGTCTCCACACAGGAGCACACTTTCCCTGTTTGCGTAGTTTCATTGGCATTTCCATCAATCATTGCTGGGTTATTTTTAACCTGAGTCGCATTATACCGGTTGTCGTAGAACAACACTTACTCACGCGTCGAAAAGGACAGCACAGTGTATGCCACATGAAATCAACATGCAACACTCGTCAGCACAGACATACATACATCACACAGACAGTACACAGCAAACACAGACTTAGATGATAGAGCAAGAGAGACAGGACACACAACGACAGGATGTTAAAGTTCATATCGTTAAGTGATTAAATCGCCATTAAAAATTCAACAACCTCCAGGCACATCAATCAATCCACATCGATGACGACACACTTGGGTGACTCCGGTAATAACCGGTGGCAGCCGGGAACATCCCAACCAACCAACCGGTTACATACCGATGATTTTTGTCACATCGCGCTTCTTATTTTTTGATTGATAACGCTTCCCTGAGGGGGAGGGACGTAGGAAAAGGAAAGGATTGCTGCGCTCTATTTCTTCTACAGCACACTTTGATCGATTTTTATTTTACAAAATGAAAGCGGGAAAGTTTGACGGATAAATGGATGACAGCGACGTGACACAACACAAAAAAAAAAAAACAGTTTGTGGAAAGTGATAGGAGACAACGTAAAACAGAGACGGTGTGAAGGAAAGCATAAATATGACAAACATAAAAGAAAAACATAGTTTAAGTAAGTTTCGCTCACCCGAAGCGCTTCTTCCTCGGCGGCCTCTTCCTCTTCGGCCTTCTTCTGGAGTTCGTCGTACGACATGGCGACAATGGCCAAGATCAAATTTACAAGGTAGAACGAACCCAAGAAGATAATCACAATGAAGAAGAGCATGTGCCACGGTCCAGCTGATCGTAACACCTGTTTTGCACACCACGAAGATTTTGAGGTAATTTTTTTTTTGTGGATGGTATTTTTTTGGGGAATTCAGTGACATTTGGTGGTTTTGGTGATGATTGTTGGCATTTGGTTACAGAAGAAAAAAATACAATAGAATTGATCTTTAATAAATGAAGATCGGTTATTTTTCAATGATATGGGAGTTACGAAGGAGAACTGGTATTGGGGATTATTAGGGTAATGCGGTTCTTTGGTGGGGATCGGTAAGTAATAATCATTCTCATTCACACATCGGACAGTAGATACGAACCAGTTGATATAGATTCTCCCAATAATCTTGGGTCATTAGACGAAAGGCAGATAAGAATGCCCATCCGAAAGTATCAAAACTTGTATACCCGTAATTTGGATTATCTCCATAACCTTGTAAACAAATATATCCTTCCTCGCATTGCCTTTGGTGGGTGCAGCGGGTGAATGAGAGAAACAAGTTGATTGGTTAGTACGATCCGGGGAAGTCGCACGAGCAAACGCTAAATTCAAAGTCCTACCCAGCACCCGACGAGTTCCCACAGAGAGGCGTGTCTCCAGTTTCCGAGAAGAACCAGTTGGCTGAAAGTAGAGTAAAGATCAATCAGGTCAATTAGATTCTAGATCGTGTTAGTCGGGGTGGGTACGCACAGTCGTTATTGTTGTGCCGTTCCCAGTTTATAGCCGTCAGGTTGCCCCACGAGCCGTCCATCGGGAACTCCTTGATGCACTTTTGCGTCAGTACGCCCATGTAGATCTGCAGACCCATTAAAGCAAACACCGATAACGAAAACATTGTTAAAATTATCACATCTCTGAGATTCTTAACGGACTCTATGACAGCGCCGACGATGGTCTTGAGACCTGTCAGGAAGGGAAAAAGATAATAATTAGTACAATTGAATGTGGGTGGAAATCGTTCGTTAGGGTTGGTTTGCATCGTGTGATTTTCTTGTGACGACTTGACGAGACACCTTATAGACCTATCATGCAAGTCTGGTGGCAGACCAGTTAATAGTGACTTGGTCACGTTAAGTGTGTCATATGCATATATCTTCAATTAAATGTAACTGTTGAGGAATGACATCTTCGCCCCCTTAATGAAAATAGTGTTGAAAAAATATACAAATGGACATAACCTCTTAAAACAAAGAGATAGCGATTTGCTTCCTTCTGCAAAAATGTGCATTTTCAAGACACTTACAACTTTGTAGGGCATTTAAAACATTGTAAATTCAAACAAAAAAGTAAAGGTAAAAAATTTTTTAAAGGAGTACCTTCGCAAGTTGTAACACGCCCAATATCGTCCAGTGACGGTTTGCATTCTACTTCCATAAGAAAGGACTAATCCACAAAGAAACCACCAGGACCTACCGTTTCGCATCCGATTTTGTTAAACGAATAGCTTATGCGCCACCTCGAATAAGGACCGATCGTCAATGTTTAGTTTGCCCGACATGAGACCTTACTACAGGTATGGAATCAAGAAAATTCTATCTTCCGATGCTTACCGACGATAAAAACACTAGTAAATGGAATTATGATCAGTGCACATCTGAGATCATGGATTACCATTTGTGTCACACATCATGATCAGTTACAAAAACGATATTCCACTGATATGATAACAATCGCTGCGTAATGTATTTCGAAATCTAGGAATTTGCTGTCTTCGGAAAAGTTGTTCTGCAGGACACATACCCTACAATATGGACATTTTTGGATCCGGGATATCATGTAGATGTTGAAAATCAATGTCTGCCGTCATTTTAAAATCCAAGATGGCAGCCGTTGGTCAAATGCACTATAATATGGGTATTTTAAGAACTGGGATAATGTGTATAGGCCGAAAATTTAATGTCCGTCAGCATTTCGGAATCCAATATGGTGGCCAATGCTTTCATAAAAGAAACAATCAAAATAGCAGCAAACATCGATTTCCGACGTCTACATTACATCCCAAAATACCAATACTGTAGAGGACAGTTTTTATTTCTAAAGCCAATGGCAGCAATCTTGAATTCCCAAATGGCGGCAGACATCAGTTTTCTACATCTGCATATCATACCCGTTTCTAAAATACTCATATTGTAGGGTATTTGACAGTTTTGTTTTCTGAAATCGATGGCCGCCATCTTCGATTTTCTAATGGTGCACGCTATGTCTGAAGGCACTTTTTTTTGTTACTTTCATGTACCTCAGTTTTTTCTTCACAGGAAGTTAGTATTGATCCTAAAAATCAAATCTGTGAAGGTTTTAAAATATTTCATCTTGGGTTCTTTGAGAAAAAGTGTTTTGGAGTATACTTAGCCGTTTACAAAGGCGTATAAGGACTATTGACGATACAAAATTGTTACGGATCGAAACAAATTCAGCTGAAAATGATTCAAAAGGGGATTAAAGTACTCCAAATACTAAGTTTCAAAGATACAGTAAGATTCCCTCTTCGTTACCGTAAAATATCGAAGTTTCGCCATGATCTCATAATGTTTTAATTAAAAACATAATTAAACAATGGTTTAGTCTCTAAATTTACTAATATTCAGCCATTCCATAGCAAAAAATTGTAGTGATTCTCAGAATATGGTAAAAAAGGTAATTTGTTCCTTATTGAAAATTTTATTTTGGCATTAGGATGACCATTTCAACGTTGGGGTGGTCCAAAAAATCTTTTTTTTTTATTTAAATTATTTTTTTTCAAAACTTTTGAACCACTAGACTGATATCAAAAATAAAAATATCAAATGAAAGGTAATAAAAAAACACTTGTTAGGAAAATATAAAGATATAAAAAAGCGTTTTGTATTGAAAAACATGCCTTCGATCACATTTCACAAGGGAAGCGTAAAAGAGGAAGATGTATCGCAGGAAATTCTCTCTATTATACCTGTTTTCTAACATATGGAGGTGGAGTTGTTCCACCAACGTTACCCAATGTTACCTCTTATAGAATTTACATTTCAAATTCAAATCCCTGTTCATAAGTTTTTCCATGATTTCGTTGAACTTCGATGAAATTCTTCAAACTCTCCTAATATTCTTTGAACGTCTCTGAGTTTGGCATTTCCTTGAAATTATCGGATATTTCTTAAAGTTCACAGTATTTTTCTAATGTTATTAAATTTTCCCTGTGGTGCACAGACCATCGTAAAGTTTGCAAAAATTTCCTCACGTTTAAAGAACTTTTGCAGAGCATCATTTAGCTCATATAATGTTGCTATAGTTCACAGAACTCTCTTAAAGTTTTTTTTGCTTTATTAGAAAGATTTTCAGCCTTGGGCTGGTTCATCTTTTTATGACCTCTCTTGAAGTTCGTAGAACTAACCAGGATGACATTGAACTCCCCCTGAAGCTCATAAACCGTCTCTGTAGTTGGAAGAATTTTCCTGAAGTTTATAGTACTTCTCCTCTGATGCTCGAAGCACATCTTTCAAGTTTTTCGAATTTTCCTGAAATTTGTAGAACTCCTCTGAAGTTTGTAGAACTTCCCTGAAGTTCAATGAACTGCTCTGAAAGTTGCTGAATTTCTCTGCTTCTTTGGAGGACCTTATTTAAAGTTTGCAAAGCTTTCCTAAAATTCATTACAGTTCCCTATAGTTCGCAGAATTTCCTAAAAAGTTGCTGAACCTTCCAAAATGTTTCCTTAAACAAAATATGGTAACTGCAATGAAGCTCTAGCAATTCTGTAGTAATGCAAGGTGAGAGCTACCTAAACTCACTGGGCAAGAGTAGTTGATCCCATGTGGGTTTCATTCCTGTATTATCGACATTATCGTACAAAAATTTTTCAAACAAATTCGTTATGGTTGCCAGAATTTATTTTCAATCTCGCCGTTGAGTCAAACATCTCAATTTATTTTTAAAAATCCAAGCAAAATTTCCATCCCTCAGGATGTTTTGGTGGCAAATTCCACCTTCGCCACGTGTTGAGTAGGGGGCACAAAACTTTTGGATACCTACTATCTCCTTTATTGAACTGGTAAAAATCTTTCAACGATCGTCACTACAAAAGTGACATGATTTTTTTTCAGAGTTGCTTCGGTCTATTTTCTTTTTTTTCCAGATTTTCTACACGATTTATCTATAAAAAACACTCAAAACAGGACACAAATCAATGCCTACTATGATTACGTGGCTGTAACGAACTGTTCTGCTCATTTCTTTCTTTTTTACTCTTATAAGGGAAGAGAAACTAAATAAGATGTTGTGCTACCAACAACTATTAATTGATTTTGCACAAAGTCGACATAATCAATATGAATCTTACTTACAAAGAGAACTTTTTTAATGCCATTTGGATTAATTCAATCAACTTAAACCTTATTTAACTGCATGTGTTCGATTCGTAATTGTTTTGTATGGTAAATTGTCCATATACGCCTTCATACTCAACTTTGTAAACTTCAAAACACGATTTCTAAAAAAACCCAAGATTAATTATTTTAAAACCATCACAGATTTGATTGTTAGGATCAACACTAACATCCAGTGAAGAAAAATCTGAGGTACATGAATGTTGCAAAAAAGTGCCTTCAGACATAGCGTGTGGTGGAGGAAATACATTTTCGACATCTATACGGCATAACAATTCCAAAAATACATATATTGAGCGTATTTGATATTTCTTCGACGTCCGTTGATGGTGATGATCGGAGATTATCGCTGTTTCATAGGATCATGATCTGTAACACGAATGATAATCGCCTTATAGTTTCCAAAACTGTCCATTGTAATTTTTGGATTTGTACTGATCATGAGTGTAACCAAAATGAGAATGCCATTATCCTTATCTGAATCGTTGATTTTGATTCTCTGACTACAGTTAGGCTCAGTTTGTTCCTTGAAAAGGGTCAGAAAATGGTCCGGCTGTCCCCAACTTCACCCACTCTAGTCTCATAGATCTCATCACACCCGAACGAACAACATCTCAAACTCTACCCTAAGCATAGGCAAGCAAAGTTGTCTTTCAAAGCTTTCAGTTATCAATTGCAAGTTTCCGCTATTCACGCTAGAAAGCTACACCGTCACGAAAGGGAACTTTGCCTTCATACAGAAATGCACAAGACGGCATCGATGCCAATTTTAAAACAGCGCGCGCAAAGGGAAATCTTTCAGGGATCTAATTACCATGAATCATTATCAGTGAATAGGGAATCTAATAAGGGCTATATTCAAAATTCAAAAAGGTTTTCATTTATAGGGGAAATGTAGGTAATGTCGGCCTACATGTCCCTAATTTGGGCCCATCGCTAAAAGTCTGCTATTTATCAATGTTATCTAGATTAACGCGTTATTGGGACGTTACTAATGGATATTTTTGGTTGCTATTGAAAATTCAGTTGATTGCTGAATTTATGTATGGGCCCAAATTAGGGACACTTAGGCCGACATTACCTGCATTTCCCATATTAATTTTAATTATTCTAAATTCTATTTGGTTTTCCCTATCTACTGTGCGTGTCTAACTCTGTTCGGTCCGGACCATTGTCATTGGCTCTTTGGTACTCACAGGAATGGTTTTCGCTTACGGTGACTCAACGTGGTGAACTTCGGCGATCCGAAAGCTCGGTGGTGAGGTGATGAGGTGGTGAAGTGGTGAAGTGGTAAACTACGCTTCGTTGTAGTTTCAAAAGAATCGTGTAAACTTCATGCCTGGGCTTTCTTTGCCAACCTACAGGTCTTAACCCGTAGGAGTAAGAAATACTTATTACTTTGTTCAGAGTAGTCGATTGGCCAAGATCGGAGAACCTCCGGTTGGGTCGAGCTCAGAACGAATAATCCTCTTCGTATATTTCAGCGTTTCTTATTTATAGGGGTTATCGAATACAGTTTTCCTATGAGACAGCTGGGGCGACATCAATAAA